TCAGACTCCTGGGCCGCTGCTAAAGGCCTTGAAGCTTGGTCTGGCCAGTGGCGAAGGAACAATTTTCTCAGACAAGGCAAACCTATCTGGAATGCCCACATATGGAAAATCCCCAATTCCTATTGCTATTACTCACGTGTCCACTTAACACCTTACACAGGAGCCATTTTCCACAATGTGACAGATTCCTTCATTCAAGGGAGAGGGGGGAGAGCATGACTCCAGGGGCTTTGCCTTGAGCCAAATCGGCATCATTCCTGAGACCAGATGCACCCGGAAACCGCTGCGTGTTAAAACGGTGGAACATATGGGGATCTGTATTTTGAACAGTTTCATTCTGATATGTAGGCTGGACCTCACTCGATGGAGAACTGAAAGCTACTCAACTGGCTGCTTACGCCAAGGAGAGCAGAAATAAGAGACACCAGGGAGGAGTAAAAAGGTAGTAAAACCTGAGAGACAAAAGTAAGCGGGAAGAGGGGTGGCATAAAGTGCTAGCTGAAGTATCACGTTGAAGACACTGAGGCTCAGGTTTCAGAAAGGCCCCAAAGGAGGCCTTGTCCAGGCTGTCACTTTGGAAGAACTGACTCAGCTGCACCCTGAGGCGTGTGTTAGAAGTGGGGTACATATACAGAAGCCGGATAGTCATTAACTCCATGAACCCATGGGGTGGGGGGGCTTTTCTTTAAAGGCCCGCATGGGTCCTGAACCCATTTGTTCACATGGAGAAAGGAACAGAGTGAAATGTCCCTAGGGTGAAACCTCCCTGTAGCCCATCTTTGGGCAATAAGACCAGAGAGAAGGAACCAAAAAGAGAGGGGTCATTTATACCCATTTTTTTTCTTTTAAAACCAACTTTATTGAGATATAACTTACATACAATAAAACATATTCACTTTAAGTATATAGTTGAGTCCTGAAAAATGAACACTCTGCTACAAACACCACCATAATTAAGACATTGTCCATTTTCATTATCCCTAGAAATTCCCTTAGCTTCTTTGTAGTAAATTCCCACCCCCAGTGCCAGGCAATTGCTGATATTTCTGCCATGTTACCTGAGTTTAGCTTGTTCTGAATTGGGGGTTGGGGAGCAGGCCTGGAGTCCGAGGATCCCAGGTTGGCTCTGGATCCTGGATCCCAGGTTAGTTCTTGTCTTTGGGGAGGAAGGAATTCAACGTCAAGATCACAGTGACAGAAAAGCAAGAGATTTACTGACAAATAAGCAGAAGGACAGGAACGTTCTCTGACCAGAGGACAGTCTCAAGTGGGTACATGCTAAGGGCCTGGAAACAGGAGTCTGTATAGGTATAGTGGGCAAGAAGTGGGGGCTTGGCTATTGGAGGTCTCTGTGTTGTGCCTATTGCTGGTGATTGGGGTCACGGTGTGGCCTAGGTTACTGAGGCCCACTGAGTGGCCCACATTGCCTGACCTGCCTTCCCAAAACTAGCTTTAGTCTGCAGCTTTAGCTTTGGGTCATTGTGCTGATGTTCTGAACAGTCCACTCTTTACTGGGTTGGGGAATCACCCCAACCTCCTTCGATTGTTTCTCTTTCAGTTCACTAAATGAGTTTAGAACATGTGGGCTTGGGTGGGGCGCCCTCTTGGTTCCCACTGATATTTAAGATTGATAAACAGGGTTACAGCACCCTGTTCCTGACAGCCTGTACCCATTTCCTAACTTCATTAGTCTAGTGTCGTATATCAATAAAACCCCTTTATTTGGTGGAACATTACCTATATCAATAGCTTGTTGCTTTTATTGCTGATTTACAGCAACATTTTTTCAGCCACTTAGCTATATAGATGGACATTCAGGTTATTTTAAGTTTTTTGCTCTTAGAAGAGGTGACCTATTTTCTGCTTTTAACCTCAACAGACCAACCCTCCTGCTCTTGTGGGTGCAGAGGAGAGGCCAGTGGGTGGAATACAGTGTTTCCCACGCCTGTCACCAGGACGATCACATGCACTTGTGAGAACAGAGTTGGTTCCACCCTTAGAGTTTTTGATTCAGTAAACTTGGGCTGGGTCAAGAACTTGCACTTCTGGGCCCACCCTGGTGGTGCAGTGGGTTAAAGCACAGCACTAAGAAGCTAAAGCCACTTTCGCATGAGTTCGATCCCCGCCCCAGAAGTGACCCACATGGCACAGCAGACTTTTCCTGACCCACCTGCTGCTCCCCTCAGCAGTATACTTCATCAGTCATCCTGTCCTGCTCTCCACTCCATCTCTGGTGAATCCTCTCACTGCCCCTGCACCTATGGCCTATACCCCATAGGTATGCATAAATAAATAAATCTTAAAAAAAAAAAAAAAGAACTTGGACTTCTAACAAGTCGTGCTGAATCTCCTGTTCTGGTGACCACGCCAAGAACCACTGGTCTGAGGGTGACTTTTTGAGCAAACAGGCGCTAAAACGGCAACTCCCTGGGGTTAAACTCACCACACTTAAGCATTAAGCCCATATGGCCACCCATTTCCATGCAGATGCTTCAGAGGCTTTTCAAAATCACTCATTACCTTGAATGCACAACCTACCCCCAAATAATGTTTTTACTTAATTGAACTTCAAGTTTGCTCAGACAAGTCAGTAATCTGAAATCTGAACGGCATCTTTGACATGGCTCCCTTTCTCTCTACCTCCCATTTCTGAAATAGTTGTTACTTTTCTCCATATCCAGTGGCATCATTACAGATTCTACCTCTATCATTTCTTGTATAAACTACTGCAAGGCATCCCAGTGGCTTCTTATCAACCTCTCTGGTTCTCCTCTACTCCTTTCTCCAGACTAAATTTTGTGAATTCTTCCCTCACCCTAAACACAAAACTGATCATATAATGCTTGCTTCGACCACTTCGATTGCTCCCCATTTTGCACTGCTCCCTGAATAAATTCTTCTTCAAGCCCCAGCTTCATTGCCCCCACATCTGCTGTAGGCACCCCGACCTTCACTCTGTAGTAGTTGTGGTCTTCTCTGGCTCTCCTTAGTGGCACCTGTCCCTCGTCCCCCCAGATCTCAGTGCACATCTCATCCTGGAAACCTTCCCAACCACTCAGCCCAGGTCAGCTTTCTCTATTACTTGCTTTCAGCGCTGTAAATGTCTCCTCTTCACAGTGATCTCAGGTCTAGAATTGATGTTCATGTTGGTGGCTATTAGATTAAAGCCTGTCATCCCACACCAGACTCCAGGCACCCTGAGAACTGGAAGCACATCTGGTTTTGCTCATTGTCTTCCCTCCCCATTTAATAAAATACCTGGTTGTTGTTGAGTGCTCAAAAAACTTTTTTTGGAGGGGTGATTTTTAGGAATCATAGGATTTCAGCAGAAAGGGATTTTTAGAAGCCATCTGCTTTCTTTCAATTTAGTAAGGAAATGGGAGGCCTGGAAAGGTGGGTGGTTAGAGGGGTTCATTTACACCCAGGAAGACCTGGGGTGTAAGTCCTAGTTTCTTTCTCCCTCAAACTATTTATTGTTCATTTATTTATTTAATATAAATACCCTGCTAGTATTTTGATCACAAAATATCAAACCAATTGGTGGCATACACGTTATGGAGAAAAGGGAGGGGATAATTTTAAAGACAGACACCCCCGCCAATTTGCAACAGTGATGGGGTGCCTGGTGGGATCAGGAGACAAGTTGCTCTTGCTCTGCTGCCCGCTTTTCAGCCACCTGCCCACTATTAGTAAAAGGACGACTAACAAACTTACTCCCTGGGGTCTGTGAATTCTTCGAAGTTAAGAATCTCACTTTCCTCCATGGCAGGAGGCAATCATTTCCTGCACATAGACCACAGTCTGATAATCACAAGTTGGCTCCTTTTTTCCAGAGGTGTTTTTTTTCTTCCTGAGATGTTTCCTTTGTGCGGGAGCCCCCTGGTGGTAACTAGGGAAAAAATCTCAGGAGAGGGAGAAATTTGCTTATGGTGAGAATACTCAGTTCTTGGTTATTTCTTTCCCTTGTGTCCAAAAGCCATTTCCAGGATCAGCCATTAAATGTAAACAAGGTTCACTAAAAACCCCGGGAAGAAGACTTTAATGTGTCATACCCTCTGTGGTCAGGCTACAGGTTTGCGTGCTCTTTTTGTTATGTCACTGTGTGACTGATGTGGCCTGAAGCTGTGGGCTGTGAATCTGTCCTGTGGTGTGCAGTGGGGGTCTCATTTGCTGCTCAGAAGCAGATACTCTCCATGGTAGAAATGCTGAGGCCTAAATAGTATTTTGCACTTGGTTCATAGGATATGTTATTATCCAAATAAGTGAGTGTGTGTGTGTGTGTGTGTGTGTGTGTGTGTGTGTGTGTGTGTGATGGGGAAGGGGTGGGATGAACTCTGTGCCAGCATAATCTCTGGCAGGTGGAAAGCTGAAACCAGAGGACACGTGAAGAAGGGAAGGAGGTGGGCCAGAGGGACAGGTCAGGCCTTGGCTGTCTGTGGACCAGGTGGGTCTGCGACAATCAGAAGAGCAGGACTGGTGAGTGCTAACAAGGGCGTACCCAGAGCACTGGCCCAGACTGTCTCATCAAGCAGGAACGGCTAAGAAATTGGAGTCACTTGTGGCGGGAGGGTGGAGATCCAGGCAAGCAGAATAGAGGCGAATAGAGGCTGAAAACAGGCTCCAGGGACCTGATGCTGCGGGACTCGGGCTTCAGCAGAGGAAACAGGACCTGATTCCTTGGGCGTTTTTCTCGAAAGGCTAATATTGTCTATTACTTTTTTATGAAAATTCTTATATGCCCCTATTTTACTAGCTGCTTTAATCATATTAAGTTTTGTGTTTTTTCTCTGCATATAAGAGCCTTTTAAAAGCAAAAATAAAAATTTGTGCTATTTTAAAACATTAGGTAATATGTTTGAAAAAGTTAAAAATCACAGATAACAACACTGTTTAATAATTGCTTTTTGATGGAGAGCCCATCCCACCTGTCTGCACTACTACATACACCATTACTTGGACATTCACATTCCACTAGGACGTGATAAATTACAAGAGTGAGGGACTTTTGAAACCACATTTAATTTTAATACAAAATCTGTTGCACTATTACAGAAGTGACCTCTTCACACACAAATTTAGCATCTACCATACGGAAGAGTAAAAACTGTAGTTTTATTGTTACCCTAAAACACTGGCAAACTTAAAGAAACTTATCTTTGTGGCCTCTGATGCTAAGGCAAAACTGTTTTGTCTATTTCTATTCCAGAAGGGGAAGTTGACTGTTGAAAAGCAACTATGTAGACACGAAAGGACATAGGGCCATCTTTACTGGGGATTACTTCAAACCGTGCTTTACCCACTACATCGAAATTACCAGATGACTAGGACTATTGAGCTGAATAGGCAAAGCTCGGAAGAGTTCATCTAGAAACCTGCATCAACATGTAGAATAGTTCACTATTTCAGTTTCACAGCAAAAAGGGGGAAAATATTCAAAAGGTATTAAGCAGACACTCCCCAAACCCTTGCACTGCAGTAATTAGCTTACTTCTTATACCGTAAAACTCACACACTGTTTGCATGTTTATTTGTATGTAACACCTATAAGCATATAGCATCTAAACTTTCAGTATATTTACAAATTCAACAAAATATCTACATATAAAAGGCTTTACTTAAAATTAAACTTGATGCAAGTTATGAGAAACCAATTTATTGGCAAATGAAACTGAGCATTCCTTCAACCATAGGTTGTTATAGAATTTCATACTTGGAGGTAAACCATTTGATAGATATTGTTTATGAATATAATAGAATATATATGTTTATTTGGGGACTTGCAGATGTAATCCCTTCAACTGTTGGCCTTGTTAGCACTTATCAGATTTCTTAGATTCTGAAATGGGTTGATAGCAATGTGCATATATACATTATTTAATGCTGCAGAGTTTCAAAAGCTGCCACATAAGACTTTGAGAATAAGTTGGCATGCTTTGACATGTATTTTGTTTTCTATCAAGTTGACAACTTTCTTACTTATTGTAGCTTATTTTAACAGAAACCTTAAGAGACCACAAAATCATCATGCACTTCAGTTGGTGATAAAGCTTTTCTTTTTATACATATGGGAAAAAAATGCTCCTGAAAATGAACTGTCTTATTCATTTTATTTTTACATTTCCTTTTTTCAGTATTGCAGTTTTCCTCATCTCTGCTTTTTAAAAGTTACTTTTAGACAATGACAGTAAAGTAGACTCTGTTGACCACGCCGACTGCAGAAGGCAGTGTGCTATGGAATGCTTATCGTCTGAAGGCACTGCATGTGTCTTGCCCTGTGCTTTCTGGAGTAATATTTTAAATTTCATTGGAATCATTTGTTTTTAATTTTTTCAGTATGGCACAAGTGCCCAAATGCATTGCAATACACATTGTTTATGCTTAAAACAACCGAAGATAGACGTGATGTAAAAGTATAACACTGTACTGCTATAATACCTGGAAGATTAAGAAGGTTGTGAAGTAACAGGAGCGAAGAGCAGGTGACAGAGTCTCAGTAAGCATCAGCGAGTGCAACTGTCATAATGAACTCATTTAAGCAAGTATATACTGTACATACTGTTCCTAACAGTCTTCCAAAAAGACTAACAACAGCTAGACATAGAGTCACCAATTTCACAACAATGTCCACAAAGACATTGAAGTCCTAGAGAATACTACAGTAACACTCTTGACAATGAAAACAGAATTCATATTTAGGGGTTTGGCCGAAGACAGTATAAACAAGTAATCAAATCATGTTTTAATAACATACACAGACAGGTATGTCCTTTAAATGTGTAGCATTTTCATGCACCATATTAAACTGTATCTTGAAGAGGAAATAACATGATCTGTTGATGAGGCTGTATTTTTTTTAATCAGTTCTGAACAAATCAAGAATACCTAGTTTGAATGAAAATGGATGCAGAACTTTGCAATGCAGTTCACATCAACATATATCATTTGACTGAGTTATGGTCTTGCTCTAACTGTTCTCATAATAGTAACATGCAGCAGAAAATATACTTTCTGCAACTATGTTCTTAGTATGAGAAGTCTGGCAAGCAAGTACTTACAGATTCTAGAGAAATGGGATATTGGCAAAGACTTAAAATTAAACAAAGGAATTCATGGCGTTGACAGGAGAAGGTGCCTCTGAGCTTTCATTTCCTTCAGCTGGCTCTTTCTCTTTCTTACCACTGTATTGTCCAATAAAGGAGCCGTCCTCATTGAACTGGCCATTCACCCCCTCTCCATAGTCAACTAGACTATCATCACTATCTTCTTTTTTCACAGTCCTGTCTGAAGGTGTTCGACTGCCTTTTTTCAAAGGCTTGTGGTCTTCTGCATCACTGGGGAAAAAAAAAATACTTTCATCAAGACTGGTGCTTAGGTGAAATGTTCTGTTTTGAAAGATCATGCATGCAAACTAAGATTAAGCAAATGGGGTCCTGGGCTTCTATCAATCTAATCTTCAGGCTGATGGCAAGGACTGGGATGTGGTTGGAATGAAAATCAGTTGCAGAAATGGTTTAATCATGAAATCTTAAACAGAACGGCTTCTTATAGTATGTCATTATCAATGACAGTCTGACTCCTGACTTAGAAACAATTCAGACATAATCACAAGCATTAAAGAAGAATTTGGAAAAGTTGAAAATCATCACCATGTTGAATCAAGAAGGAGTAAAAGCTGATGGCAAGTAAAGAAGTTAGTATGTTAAACTTCTCTGATTCCTTGGGTATGAATGGAGAATGACTTGGGTTAAGTGTGAAATATGGATTTTTTTCCTAAGCAAGAAGGAGAAAGCAAAATCCTGAATTTCAAATAATTGTGCTTTTAAATGCAGGCCAGATTATAAACTTTAACCTTACCTTTCAAGAGACCTACAAATCCCATTAAAAGGATGCAGAAGAAACAAATGAAAATTGCCTAAGAAGAAAAGCAAAATCCTTATACTGATAGTATACTATCAGTATCCTATCAGAACTTTTTGGGTACAAATTTTAATTAATGGGCAAAAAATTATTAACTTTGAAAGATACAATTTAACTTAAAATCACTATATTTGTAGATTAATAGCAGGTAAATATATTCTGAAGAGTGTGAGTGAATCTAAAACTGCAGAAACAAACATTTTCTGCACTCATCTTTACCCCTCTCTTCCATTCTCACATGCATTATACAGTCTATATATGTCGGATGGGAACCTTAGAAGTGTAATTTAATTAAACTTTATAGGATACATTTTATTTATTTCTTTGTTGAGCCCCTAACCACAGTATATGAAGTAATCATTATGTTTTACAACATCTACCCATGTGTATGTAAACTGACCCATGGCTTAGTAGGTAACACATGTTTCAAAACTAGGAAAAAATGGCAGTGGCATTTTTTTCTTTAAACAAACAAAAATGTAAGGCGAAAATAGCAAACATGCTATTAGCAAAAATAAAAAGACTTAAACATAAAGGTCTCACTAGGTGCAATATTTCCTCTTGTGCTTTGTTGCTCCTTGCATCTGAAAATGACATTTTTCTAGTCAAGATACAAATATTTCAAGATACACAAATATCCTGTTTCCTTGGCCAATAACTCCTATGAAGGGTTTCAATTTCTCTCCAAAAAGGAATATCTCAAGACTGGAAAACAAGACCAGCTTAAAAGGATAGTGGCATGTACTACTGAAAATTACCTTCTTAAACAGCCCTCAAGTGATCACACACTTTGTAAGCGAATATAGCCACTGCTAGTAAACAGTGGGCAGGTATCGCAGACCTTGCAGAAGCCTGTGTCTGAGCAGGGGACACAGCGTCCAATCTTCAGTCTGCGCCAAGTACAACCTGCATGTCTTTGGGATCTAATCCTTAACTATCAGACTTTTCTTGAATACTGGTAAAGTATTCACTTAATTCCACTGAAGAGTTCCATCATGAGCAGAATTCTGTTACCTGGATTGCAACTTTTAATCTTACTCTGCTTTATAGAACTAGTCTTCCAATGAATGAACTACGAGAAATGCTAGCTTGTTCTCACTCACCCAAATACATAATAAATAAATAAATAATAAACAAATTGAAGTTAGCAGCCCATTAAACATAATTTATCACGACCAGGTTGGTATATTCAGCTGGCTCTTTCTCTTTCTTACCACTGTATTGGTAAGTTCATTTTATCATTAAAACAATAATTTATAATAATTCACTATTTTAGGATAAGAAAAGAAAAAGATCTGTGATCATTTCAGCAGATTTAAAAGAAGACTTATGGCTAAATTCAGTAGACATTCAATATCAATTCAATATCCAAAATTAATGCACTTCAGACAGAAAGAATCCTCACTAATGCAATTTAGGATATCAATAAGAAACCTAGAATAAATGTAATTCTTTATAGTAAATGTTGAGAACCTTCTGCATGGCATCTAAAAAAATAGTAGAGATGCCTGCTATTATCACATCTAAACAAATGTGCATTCCAAGCCCTAAGCAAAGTGATGACAGAAAGAGAAGGCATATGTATTAAGAAAGGAAATGTTATTTATCACTGATATGATTGTATATGCAAAATATCCAAAAGACTTTCCTGTCCACCTATGACTATGCAGGAGTCTCTTTTTCTTTTGCCTTTTCCCAATAAACCTGTTATTTTTAAAATGAAAAAAAATCCCAAAAGTGTTTACAGGGAAACAGAATAAAAATGTGTAATGAGTTTACTTGTTAGCCTAAATGTATATTTTATTTATATAATTGCAATTTTATTTATAATTGCAAACAGTTGGAAAATAAAAATTTTAAAATGATTCCATTTTATCATAAAAATATGACATGTATAAGAACAAGTCCACCAAAAAGTGTTGACCTCTCTGAAGAAAAATGAAACCTTTTTCAGAGTTATTAAGGAAGAGCTAAATAAATAGAGAAATATACCACACTATGAACAGGAAGACTCAAAAATGGTAACTGTTAATCTATATATTATTCTTTCAACTTAGTTTCCCCACCCCCCCAAAAAAAAATCCAGCAGATTTTTATATAGCTCTTGGCAAGCTGATTCTAGATGAATATGTAAATAAAAAGGCAAAGAGCATCTAAAAACTGGAGGGCTGACTTAGCAGCTGTCAAGATTTATTAAATGCTGAAGTATTAAGGTCGTGTTTTGGGAGCTCAGATAGACAAGTGGGTCAGTGGAATAGAATATGAGGTATTAAAATAAGTGGGAGAGCTCTTTGTTGGCTTAAGTCTTACACTAAATTTTTATACTCTCTCATAACTGGAATAATTTTTAAAATTCTATTTTTGAACTATTTGCTGTTACATAAACATGGAATTGACTGTGTTAACTTAGTGTCAAGTGGCATTACTAAATGCTCTTATGAATTCTAATATTTTTCTGTAAATTCATTTGGAGTTTTATAAACACAGTCATGAGTTATGAATCACGATCAGCTAAGTGAGGTTCCCGGGAGCACCACCCACCCAGATTAACAGTCCTAGAGAATGAGAAAGAATCTGCAGCAACACAGGCAGTGCTTGAAAGGAAGGAAGCAGGATGGTCTAACTATAAATAATCTTTCTAGAAAAACTTTCCCAAGGCAGTTCAAAATCTTTTTGAAAATAGAGTTTCTTGAAAAGTAGTGTGATATAATGACATTCTTCATTAAGCAGAATTTGGTTAAATGGGAAAAAAATTACATGAGATATCAGCACAGATTTTGGCAAATATCAGAAAGATTTTTTTCCTTAAGAAATACCTTGAGTGACACTCACATTTAGAACTTTTCAGATGTGACGGATGTTATGAGTCTCTGTTGAACACTGCATTAGTGCCTGCCTTCTTCAACTCAAAAGTTGAATTCAATAATGACACAGTAAATACACTGCTTCTGACACTGTGCTCAGGGAAGCTGCTTTGTCAAGTTAAGTGTGAATGGATAGTTTCCCAAATTAGAGGAATACAAATTACAGGTGTTTTTTAAGTCAGTCATTTAGCTATGTACTATTTAAAGATGAAAACAATCATTCACTTTTTAGTGAGAACTTTTAAACACAGAAGATGTCAGATGTTAATTAACTCTTAGCCTCAAATGTCAAAGATTGAATTTTAAGTTAGGTGATAAAATAGGCATAGTACATACACTTGCAAAAAAATCTTGAAACATACATCCATGAATATATTTAATAACAAAAGCTGTGCAGTGTAAAGAAATGTTTGTATCACAATATCAAAATTCAGTTCTTGGTTTACTTCCTCTGAGAAGATTCTTATATCAACCTTCTTCATGTCCCCTGACAGGCTTTGGCCTCCTGTCCCTGCTCCTTTTATCCCTGACTACATCCCTTTCATAGAACTTTGCACCCTTTACCCCTTAGCTACATACCTTTCATAGAACTTAATTTTACTTGTCTGCATCCTTCACTAGATTATAAACTAGAGTGATCACACTCTATTGGTTTTAATATCCCCACAGCCTAGTATACATCACACTCCTAATAAATACTAGCTGCATGGACTCACTGTAAAATTACAATAGAGGAGATAAATTAGAAATCCTCCTAACAGTAAAATGTTTTCATTGTTAGTTTTATGGTGTCAGACAAAGCACTGAAAGATAGTCTTCCTTTTCTTTAACTCAAAGAATGAATTTCAGGGAGTTCAACTTTTTTCAACAGCAATTCATTCGGGGTTGTGCATTCACAGGGTACCTTTTACTTGCATACTGAGCACAAGTTAGCAGCAACAAATAAATTAGTGATCAGTTGGTTCTCACTAAAAAGTGGATGCTTGTTTTCATCTTTAAATAGTACATAGCTATTTTCCAATGATCACCATCTACCATGGATAAATTAAGCCATGCTGTAGTTTAGAATGATGAGGTATTTTAGAATGCTGTAGACATTCATGACCCAAACACTCTTTACAAACACCCTCTCTCTAATATTCAATATTAATTAATCATTGTTAATTTGCTCCCAACCAAGCTTTTGTGTGTGAACAGTCAATCTAAAAGTATAGCAAATGTGACGTCTTCACATCATTCAGGCGCACGAGCATAGGCTAGTATGCTTACCACAGGACCATATTGACACAAATGACAGTTTCTTGTGCCAAGAGTCTCTGCTTATCTATGAGTTCAAGTACCATAGTCATATAGTTTATGACCTAGGTTTATTCTGGTTTTAAAGGATGAATCTAAAGAATAAAAAAAAATACTTACACAGTTGGTTGCACTGTTTCTCTGATTTTTCTATATGCTAGTAAGGATGCAGATCCTACTGTCTGTATAATTAAAGAAACAAACAAAGAAAGCTTGCAGGCTTCCACCAAAGGGTAATTGCTTGGAGGGTAGGTTTTGGAGTGAGGGCGTGGGACAAATAAAAAAAATCAAATTTGGCCATTAAAGTTCCATCCCTCTTTGCACTAGGACATATCTTCTGGCTCAGAGCCAACCATATGGGAACTGTTTCATCCTTAAGCTGGAAAATGAGACAATTATAAGCCAAATTAATTAACAGGCAATAGCCCTAACTTTGTGTGTCTCTCTGAATAACAGTTTTAATTAATTTTAAAACAAAATAAGTAATACAGAGCTCAAAAGTCCAGAAGGTGCAAAGCAGAGAAGGGACCCTAGTGATCTGGGGAAGCGAATGACACTTAAATGTGTTATTAAAAAAAAAAGACTCTTTAATAAACAGTTGGAACCGTTTTCATTAATTGTGACATCTAAGAAACTGAGGATCTTTTGTATGCTTTCTTTTTTGATGTAAAACAAAACCAAAGGGAAAATTCCAAGGTGGTGTCAGGAAGTCACAGGACAAAGCGACATCTCTAGCAAAGGATGGCTTGAGTGTCGGGGGAAGAAAACTCATGTGGGAGATTTTCCTGTGAATTTTCAAATTCAGTTAAAAAAAAAAACTGCTGAATTGTGTTTCAAGTTTAAGACACCCATTAGATCCTTATTTCCCTTGGAACTTCCAATCACCATAATTCATGTCTGACAAGTGTTTCTGTCTTTACACAGGAATCAATAAATTTGTACAAAATAGAACCAAGGCAAAGTCTTTCTCCTCTAAGAAACTCAAGGAATAAAGACAGTCATTTGAAAACGTTTCACAAAACATATCATATATGAATAACACCAAGACAAAGAAATATGATCAAATAAATGTAAATACTGTGACAATGAGGCTCATAAATACTTGCTATGTACTGCTCTGGAACCCAGAATCATGTTTAAAAAGTCATTAATAAATAGCTCAAATGTGAGCTGAGAAACCATAGAACTAAAAACTTTTGGAGATCACCAACTACCTGAACAGCTGTATCATTTTATAAGTGGAAAAAAAAAAAAAGGAGAGATAGACAATTAAGTGACATATCTATAGGAATCAAGGGTAATGGTTGAATTGACCCCAAAACTAACTGTCTCTTAATTCCAGGTTAGTTCACATTCAACCTCAATTCCAATCATGTCATAATGAAGTAAGCGGCATAGTTATTATGAAAGTCATGTTACATCAGATCATGGTTTCACATCACTGTAATAGCAAGCTGACATTTAAGACCCACAGGCAAACAGTAAAATACATTGATAGATTCATTTAAGTGTGATAATGTAGAAGAGGAATCCATCACCATGTGAAGAATGTATGAAGTGTGATATTTATTTTCAACTCATGCAAATGCATATTTTTTTTCAGGCTATATTGAAGATTTAGCTTCATCACACACACACACAAGTGCGTGTGGGGGGAGTGGTATGCACATCCTGTGTGGAATTCCGGGGATAAGAACTCGAAATTAGATGACTTCATCTAATAAAGATCAGCTCACCTGCTTTACTAGTGAAAGTGAGTTAAAGATTTCAACTGGTAGGTGTGGATACCCTGGGGTGTGCTATTTGCAGGTGGTTCTCACGTGTGAGGAAAACTTCTTGGTTAGATTGGGTGTGGATGCTGAATGAGCTTTTCAGACTTTCAGCCCAGAGTCAATTTTTAACAGCAAAGACAGCCCTCCCTAGGCATTTTTCTGAATCACAACATACAGAATTTCTGGCACATTTTAGAAACCACAATCATCTCTTGAAGAGATTAAAATATGGCGCTTAGGTGCTGGGCAGGAAGGCACTTGTGCCTGCATGGAAAATGGTATGGAGCCATTTTGTAAAAACATATGGCTTTTATAAATTGGTTCTCAAGTCCTTTATTCTTCATATTCTTCAAATTATTTTCTCCTTATGATACTAGGATGGAGGTAGCAAAAATGAACTCTGGAGACAGGTAAAAATTAATACAAGTATCTTTCTTTAAAAAGAAACCTAGGCTGGGATAATTGTAAAATATATTAAAAATTTAGTACTTAGCACATTGATTATGTTAAAATTTGTCCTTAATAATGGAGCCATGACAAGAATGTATTATTAAATGTATTCTGTGAGTTAACACATTGCCAAAAGGACTGTGATATCCCTTAATAATTAACAGTTTCTAAAACAACCATCACTGCATGATTAATGGGCCAGAGTATAGATATTTGTTTTAGAAAAACTAGCTTCAAAACCATTATTAATAAGAGTAACAATAACTTTACAAAAGCAAGGCTAAGAAGGGGCAGGTTTCCTGGGGCCTTTCATGTTGATTTAGCTCTTTGTGAAACACGAGCTTTGCTAATTGATCAATATAGCGAAGTCTTCCAGAAAATATGACAAGAGTGCGAGACAAACCTATGACTAAATGGAAATTTATTTTTTGATGAAAATGACAATATTTCATCATGAGGGATGTATGAACATTTAGACAAGAAAGTGCTTCTAAACTAATATTTGAGGGGAACTTAAAATGCCAGGCAGAATCTAATTCTCAGGAGAACGCGCTACGTGCGTGTGTGTGTGTGTGTGTGTGTGTGTGTGTGTGCAGGGCAGGAAGGCAAGGGGAACATGACGAGCAGAGGCTCACCTGTATTCTCCAAATGTGCCATCGTCCTCCTTCATGGGCTGGATTTCAGGATCAGCATGTGCATCTTCCTTTTCTTTGACTAAAAATTACAGAATGACATTATTATCTATTGATCCTACGTTTCTTAATTCAAAGTTCGTAAAACAGCAACTTTTGAGATATAGAACAGTGGGAAGTAATTCTACACATTGTGGTGTTATCCACCCAGCTGTGTTCTGTGATCATGTGTGTTTATTTTAAAGTTTTAATGACTTTAAGACTACCTACTAATGTAATAGAATGAACATGTTAACATATAAAGTTGACTTCATGGGAATATTTTTTGTAGCAAGTGTCTTACCTGATAGGAGAGCGAGTTTTAAGTTTCTGAATGGTTTTCTTTAACTTACCAATCTGTTTATTAACTATTAATGACTATAAGTTGGTTTTGTAAATCTATTCTTTTGCAGATTTTTAACTTGACACTGAAGACTTACATACATATTTCCCACTCAACACACACTGGGCCCACTAATTTGAACAAAATGTTAACTATACAGGGAAAGCAATGTTTTGTGACTTTGCTTACTTCAGAAACCCCATGGATCTTTCCCTCTGCCAGTTGGCTTCAGATGCTATTTCTGCAACCATGATTTATTTGGAGCCTAAGGAAACAGTCACTACTATCTTCACAGAAGTGATTTATTCCCCCAAATGCCTTGTGATTCTTAACAGCAGTTACTTTGTCATTATATAAGAAGGAATTAAAGATTGTTTTAACAGGAGATCCAAGTTTATGGCTCTGGGAAGTTATCTTTATTACATTCTACAAGATTGCCCTCATGAATTTTTGTTGTTTCATGAATAATTATGCAGAGTCATAAAGCAATTCTAATTTTTTCTTTCTTACCTGGATATTTACCACCCTTGTTCCTTCTGATGAAGCAAACGATCAGCAAAATCAAGATAAGAAGAGCAACAGCACACATGAGCCCGATGAACCAGCCCTGGGTGGCGATGTCCACCTGGCGGCTTGCCATTGCTGGAAGACAAAAGAGCGGCGTCAGTGGGGGTAGGTTAAGGAGAGAGCAGTACTGATGCAGTCTCTTACAGCTAACATTTTCCATAGTATATGGGCTTGTGTATATTTGACACATGACCCCCAAGTTGTAATCTGTTGATTCTCAATCAGGAGTTAACTTTGAAAAATCATCACTAAAAAAAATTTAAATAGAAAAGTCAGAGAGCTATTACCATTAAACAAGAACAAAACCTGTTGAACACTGTATTCAATTTTTTTAACTGCATATTCCCCAAATAAATATAATCTCAAACCAATTAGAAAAGTAATTATTATTTATAGGATAAACTGTACCTCATGTATAACGATACAAATATAAGAATAACTTTTAAACAGAACAGAATGTATACATCTAATGGAGTATTTTTCCTTCAAAGGAACTATTTTTGGAGGCTAAAATGGAAAATTGAAATAATGCTGCCATTAAAAAAAAATCTTGAAATCTGTCAAGAAAAAAAGCTTTCCACACAAGAAACCTTCCACGTAAGATAACAATCTTACGATTTTGTATAACATGTCAGTTTTTCCCCGAAGTATACTTAGATTTGTTATTTATTCATTTGGAAGTACTTGTTTTGAATGATTTTCAAAAATGTCTAAAAAATTCAATTTGACATTCAATACGGCTACAGATCTATTTAAAAGACATTGAAATACATCTTTACCAGTGAAATCACTAATGAAATAACTGACCAGTTTAAAGAGAAAATACTCATTCACATGTATATGCATTCTTTCAGTGTTTATTCTGTTTGATTAAAAAATGTGAAAGACCCTCATAAATTAGTCACAGTATGCAAATCTCCTACAAAAAAATCACATAACAATTAGCATTTCTGGTATTATCCAAAAGTGTCAGTCAAATGGGACAAAGTGCAGCATTAATGGCTATTCAGACAACCCATGAGGGTTTATTTAAATAAATTGGTATGAACCCTCTTTTAAAATACCTTATTTTTTTTTTCACTTTTGTCAATACACAGGAAAAAGGTTTTCTTCTTTTGACTTCCTAAGCAGTCCTCTATTATGCTTTTAATTTGTAAAATTTCTTCTGAGTATATTTAACATGATTGGGTTAGGTGTATGTGATCTCAGGATGCATAAATCAGCATGACTCCGTATACGCCAGGGTCTGATATATGTAGCAAAACAGAACCTCACTGGCGTTTTTTCTCCACACAAACTCGAGGGATAAAAATGAAATGTTTGAAACTAAATATGAAGAGGAGTATGGAAATTGTGTGGTTACATGTTTAAGAAATAAAGACGTGGAAATGCACTATTTGGAATATAATTCAAGTGCCAGTTGTCTTTCCCCAACAGCACTTGGTGTCTCATGGTTATAGGGTTTTGACCATATGGTTCCTAGACACAAGTGATGCATGAGAACAGGTAGTGTCCCCTTCCAAACATACACCACAGTCATTGTGAAAATGATGACGATGAAGACAAGGATATTGAGAGCTAACCCCTATAATCATTGTTCAAATGTTTTACTGTGTGCTAGGCATGGTGTTGAGGGCAAAAATCTCATTGTATCTTCAAAACAATCCTTTGAAGTAGACAGGAGGGCAGACCAGTAGACTAGAGAGGGTAAAGACCTTGCCCAACAATTGGAGTTTGACTCACCACTGCTTAATTCCAAAGACCTGCTACCAACTGTTATGCTCTGCTACTACAATGCATTCTTGAAAATATGTCCAGACATTATTTAATCTGCAGAAGTCTTTCCAAAGAATAAAATGTTATGGGAATTTTCCACTCTGAGACAGGTAAAAAAATTTAAAAGTTCCTATTCTTTGGCAATCTATTTCTACCGATTTATATGTGGTCTTTATGGGCTTTTCTTCAAAACTGAACCAGAAACTAACTGGTCTTTGGAGCATTTGATTGCAGTTAGAGTCCTCATTTTTAGCTTGCTTAATGATTCACAGTCTTGTCATAAATTAGTAGCTCCATTTACATTTTTCATCTAGTTAAACACATAAGGAAAAAGTGCATAAGATATGCAAGTCCTAGCACAGATGTTCTTACAATGATGGTGACTGCCACAATTGAGCCATAAGCTGGCAGCTTGCAAGAAGTGGACCTTTTTTTTTTTTGACATTTGATAAACAAATATCTAAGTTGACTTTGAATTTTTTTGCCACTATATCTAAAGAAAAAGTAGCAAATATTTCACTGATCCTTTTAGACTAGGCAACACAATATGCTAACAGGCACATGTGTGGGCATGCTAACTCACATATACATTTACACACACACACACACACGTCTGTGCATCAGAAGTTGATACAAAATGTGTGTATGTGAAAATAATGTATGCTGACTTTCTGTCCTTTTAAGAAGGGTTTAAAGGCCTGAATAACTATGACACGTTCCAAGTCTTCACAGAACTCTCCAGTATCATCTTCACTACTCACACAAACACAAGGCAGAGCCCCCTCATGCACCACGTCACCCTGCAGACTTCTGGAATCCGAGTTGCGATGGATGGGTGTTAGCAGGATTAGGCAGGAAAGTGAAAAAGAATTTTCACCTTATTTGAAATTTTTTCAGTAAAATTATAATCATGTAGTACTTGAGTAATACTGAAAGCAAAAACCAGTCAAACTAATATGAAGAATATGGAATAACAAACTAAGCCAGAGTGATATTTGCTTTGTTTTTTTGGAAGTTAGTTTTAGCATAGTCCTCTATATCACACTGCTTGTTCTGTCATGGATAATGTGTGCTTTGTGGTAGCAGGTCTTGGAAGAAAATGCTCTTGCGTACTTAGGATACTAGAGTAGGCACAGAAGAGACAGGGTGAGATACATGACTTTCTGTTGTATACTGTTAACCACAGTGTAGACAAATCTCCTGTTCAATTAAAATAATTTAAAATGTTTAGAGAAAAAAAAATTACCTTGTGCAAAGTTTGTAAAGAGCTGACCAAAAACTGCTGGATCCAGTAAAGCAAATCTGCTTTTTATCTTTCACAGTATGAGAGAAGAGACTTAGTAATGGAGGGTAAGAGCCAAGAAGAGAAGAAAAGCAGGTGGGTAGCCTTACGGTGAGGCTCAACAAAGGTGTCAGAGAGAAGCTCACTACTGGGATACCATCTATAGTCTTATCTGATTTTCAGTTTATGCCACGGGACAAACAATTAAGAAATATACCTTAAGAATCCTGATTATAAAATGCAGAAATGGTGTGAAGTTAAGAAGTTTATTAAACAGAGATAAAAGTGAGGTCTGGGTTCCTAAAGTGAGTGTGAAGGAGAGAAAAGTAACCCCTTCACACAAAGAATTTAAAAATTGAGCCAGAATGGTAGCTTTCCATGCCTACTACTGATATCCCCATCTCAAAGCCTAGCATGAAGGAGGCAGAAACAAAAGATAATGTTTCCACTCTGGAGTCAGGTTGGCAGCCCCAAAGGGCTGGGAGAACAATGGAGCTGGATTTATCAGCATTTGCTCCTAGAGGTAATATGTTAACTGAGGGCACCACAGTTGAATCAATATTTATGCTTTGTAATAGTTATATTTACATGTAAGAGGTGGCAAAAACTGCTCATGGCCATGATTCACCTGTCTACCTACCTACCTATCATTCATCATTATTATCTATCGGTGGCACACAAAAATGGCTAACCCATAATCACTGTTCACGTAGAATTACTTACCAGTTGCAGGTATATGAAAACTGAAAAACAAATATTGTTTTCCAAACTGTTTACCTTTTGTCTCATAAAAGGACAAAAAAATGCTATCACTCAATTTCTCTGCATGGAACCTAATTCTAGCTAGACCTGAAAGCTGAGAATACAAGGAGCAAGGAGGGTCTAGAATATCTAGAGAGATATATCAAGTTCTAAGTAAAGTGTTCATTTCTGGGACAACCTGCTCCCCTTCTGAGTATGGGCCTCCGTAGCCCTCTGGTGGGTAAGGAGAACCTCTCTTCCCTGCTGGAAGGCTGCCCTCTCACTACAGCTCTACCACATGATGACTGGGTAAGTTGGGCAGGTACTTCACCTCTCAGAGCATAGACATGATGTGTAAGTGGGTAATAACAGTGCCTACTTCCCAGGATTGTTGTAAGGACTGAATGAGAAAAGCCAGGAAAGCTATTTCCACAACATGGAGAATGAAGATGAAATACCAGTGTTGTTACTATTATTAGCATTCTAGCTATCTCTGAATTAGATACTAATACAATATTTTCCTACAACTCTACAGAAATGACTATGGAACATACAATAAACAGAATAATGGAATTGTTTAAAATATTATGATTTCAGCACATAGATACTTAAAAAGATAAGTAAGTTATCAGATATGATATTTGGTATATATTTATTTTTAAAAGATTCATGATTGTGTTTTCTAAATTATAAAAAGTGACTGAAAATCATAATGTTTGTATACAAACAGCACATAAAATATTTTCCTACAGGAAATGCAAGATTTCCTCAAGAAGCCATGAGGTGACTGAACATAACATGGATGCATGAATCACAACATGAACACATACCACAAAACCCTTCTTTAAATTTAAGCAAGGGGTTGTTTCCCATTTTGTGAGTTTAAACAAATATTGCTGTGTTTTACATGAACATTTCTCTTTGTTTTAGAAACATTAATTTTTACTTGTACATGCTGACAATGTTCAAATAACTACAATTACTAGCAGTCAAATTTGGTGTGATTACAATGAAAAACATTAATTGAACAATTTGTTGTTCTGCAGAAGTTTAGTAATATTTACATCAACTGTCTAGCCTAACTGCAGGGTTCTACTGGGGTACAGCACATTTGGATATAAAAAGCTGTTAATAAGTTATTTCAGCTTCAAAAGCACTTCAAAAATTCCATTTTAACTCTGAGGGAGATTTTACAGATGTAAATGATGTGGAAAATTGAATTACCTAATTAATGTAGGTTGGAAACCCGATTTACATTGGTTTGTAACGGCCATGGTCAATAACCATAGTTAAATGATTTACTCAATTCTGCACTTCATTTGATATAAAGAGTCAAGAACAATCAAAAATTCAAACTCAAACTCTATGCCCACTGGGCCCCCAGAAAGACTCCAGCGCCCTATCAATCACACAGCTCTACCAGCTCCGGTTTTGACTGGAGCACACGGTGGCTTCACCTTTGGGATGAGTCAGAACTGGTGTGGTGTGTGCCTCACCTGGGCCTGTCTCAAATACATCCTCTGAACTCACAAAACCAGAGTCCCCCTCAGCACCAACTCGAACTTTGTATGCTGTTCCTGGCATTAGACCCTTTAACCCAAAGAAGTTCCGAGAACCATTTATAATTTCTTTCCTCCAGTCTTCTTTGCCTATGGAAATTTTGTAAAAACAAAACATTTAAATATTTTATGGGACCAGAAATCGTTCAATGCTTTAAGAAAGGAAAATTATTTATAAGTTAATAAAAAGAAAGACAAAACCTAGGATTCACAGGGTTTATCACTTTAGATTATTATAAGTCATGTCAAATAAATCAGTTAAAACAAAGGAACTACATGAAAATGTACTCCAAGAAAAACTGACTGAGTATCTAGATTGCATATTTATATTAAATCTTTTTTTCTTTTATTAAGAACACTGCATAAACTTCAGGTATACAGTTTCTCAATAAAAGAAGCTCTTATCTATACCTTGCTTGTGAAACTATTGCGTTTCTCTAATGATGTTTATAAAAAGAACAGCTACACATTAAATAGCTTAAGTGAAACATGAGAAAAAATTATTCCATGAGATTTGCAATCAGAATCTTTTGGTAAACTTAAATGTCTTCAAATTTATCCAAATTATAGATTAAACCTTTCCATATTTTCTACAGATTCATTTTACTCAATTTATAGAGCACTGGCTTTCCTAAAGAAACAGATATTTCTAAAAATATTTGCTTGCATGATAAAGGCCTTATCAGTAAGTATGCCCAACATTTTCTTGCAAACACTTACTGGCCATCCAACCTAATCTGTGTTGAGCACACTGCACTGAGGAGGGAGTGAGCCATGTTCACAAACTATGGTAATTAAAGTTATTTCATCTCCCAATAATGTCAGCGAGGATGTAAACAGAGCATCAGATTTATGCATACATTAAACACTGAAACACAATGGACATCTCCTGTATTAATTTTCTGCAATTTCTGATAAAATTATGTTGGGTAGTATGGGCAGAATGACAATTTTCACGTCAGTTTGATTTTTTGCTACTTCAAAGTCCAATTTGAAGAAACTTTTCTTCTTCCCACTTGTACAAATGGAAGTATTCATTATTACACTTTTTACATAGGTGGGTATAGAACAGTTTAAGTGCCACGATATGAAAATATCATATGCAATGGAACCTCAATGTCTCTTGTTATTAGTAACATAAAAATAGAAATTCCTATTTATATATAAAATAGATAAGCTGACTATTCGCTTAATAGTTTTTGGATAAATCTGATTCATTTAATTGGATCAAGTTTTTTTTTTTTTTTCCAAGATGATCCATACTAAATCTTTCAAAATGTTAAGTTCTTAAGCTGCATCCCCCAAGTCAAAAACCAGGTAATGAAATTGTTTCTTACTGCCAGCTACACCATATTCAATATAAAAGTTCACATGCTCTGGTCCCTCATACTCCCAACTGATATTGGCATAGGTCTCAGCAGCTGCAGCAGTAAGATTGCTGATCCTGGGATTTACTGCTTGAAATAAATATATAATAAAAAAATCAAGCAAACAAACAAACAATCACATTATAGCACCAAACACACAGATACAAAACAAATGTAAGTACTCTGAAATTGTGCAAGTAGAATTAAAATGCACAGCAGAATATTAGGGTTCATTCAGACTTCTCTTCCTTTCAGTTATGAAACTACACCACTAGGAAATAATTAACAATCAGAAATATTGAGGTAGCAGATTAAAATATATGCATGCTATTGTAGGGGTCCTGAACAATGGAAACCACTGCCCACTAGATACAGATGCAGGAAACCTCAGTCTTCATTTACGTCAGTGGGTCGGGGGACTGATAAGCAGTGCTGTGGGCAGAGATTACAGAACATCAAGACACTGAAAGGCAACTTGCAGGCAGCTACTTTTCAATTCTATTTATAATCTCAGTGTGGGTCCTTAAGAATTTGTGTTATGATGAGAAAGAATGGTCCTTCGACTAGTAGCTTTCAACCTGATCTGAGTCACAAACTTCCTTAAGAAAATGCCTCTGGGGATTTCAGGGAGCCCAGGTGAGGAACACTTGTTTTGGAGAACATTGAATGGTTAGAGTACCTGGAAGAGAAACTGCAAATAGAATCACTAAATATGTTTATCCGAAGTTAAGAAAGAATAATAAAAACAATGAGAACTACTTCATTTGACAAGCCCCAGAGAGGAGGGCAGTCTTAGCTGCTGTGCGTTTGCTACATATCCTGTTCTGAAAAATCATAGTGCAACATGAATAGCTTAAGGCACCAAACCATGGAAACCACATACAGCTCTGTACTTGCTACTGAGTACAGAGGACATCTATAGACATTCAGTGGTTATTTACTCTCCAAGGCTGCCACTTCTACAGCCTTACCTCAACAAATTAAAAATATTTACAGACACATTAACTCAAATAGTTGAAAAATGATAAGATCAACTGATGACCACAGAGAAATCTCTTAGGAGAGTAAAACAGAAAGTTCCAATGAGTTTACTATGACTCTTAAGATTAAACTCTAAAATGTTATATTATTTAGCAGATAGCAGCCTCTACCAAAACAAATTTAATGAAATGTCATATTTTAAGGATCAAATAAAGAAGTAAATTAAAAAGCAAGGCACTTGACTCCTGAGATATCATTCATCTATATGTTGTGGTCCCCTCTGCTGTCAAGGGCAGCAAACTTGACCATTGTCGGTTGTCTGTTATTTTCCTCTTAAGGGAACAGACAATGATAGGGATACTGTTAACGGAGACTGTAAATATGTTCCTATGTGGAGAACATCAGTGAAAAGAACTCAGGCAAAGCATTAACTTCCTTTAAATGATTGCAGAATTATGGAACTGAGAAATATGCCCTTGGAGTAATCATGGAAGGTGTTTCAGGCAGAGCCAAAGTGAAATACTTCCAACAGGAACATTCCGCTTATTCTTAAAGACACCAACAGAAGATATCACTGTTTCTCCAAGGTTATGCTATGTGTCCATTTTATCACAGAAATTCCAATTCTCCTTCCTTTTACCCCCCTTCTCCCCCATGTTCTCTTACTCACTGAGCAAACACCCACTGATTCTCTGTGACATGCCAGAGAAGGGGACTGAAGTGCCATTTCTCACCTGGGCACTCTCACCTGTCAACCTCCAAGACTTCTCTGTAGTTTGTTCAATGTAGTCACCTTTATTTTCTCCCCCTAGGTTAAATACCTTGTCTGTAATTTCACTGCTTAAAACTGGGTGGGCTTGCCTCTGCCCACAGGTAAACACGAATGCCTTCGCAAGGCACTCATGAACCTGAAGGGTATTTGGCCTATGCCTGGCAGTTCAGTTTAGCGAAAATGTAGAGTGTGGGAGAGAAGATGTGAACACATCTGGCCTCATCTGCCTCTGCGTTTGCAGTTCAGATTCTCTTCTCTCCCACACTCTATGCCTTTGTTTATGCTCCCTACCAAAGATTCATACACCTCAACCCTCTGACTCAGGGGACAAAATTTTTATTTGTCCTATAAGGCCCAGTTACTTTCTTTGTGACACTCTTCCTGATCCTATTTGGCAACACAAATGGTTTGCTCCTTTGCTCTGTTCAAATTACTAGCATAGCATCCATTGCATCTATTTTTATTCCTTTTTTTTTTTTTAAACATGTTGGTCTAACCTGCCAGATAGTAACCATATCAAAGGCAAGGTCACCACACTGTGCTGGTGCATTGTGCCTTAAAAATGGCTATGTATTGGGTGATTTGGTGGTGGGAAGCCCACAGAGGTTACAACTAAGCTGGAAAAAGGCACAAGATGATGCAAAAATAAACTATTATATTATTGGGAGAAAATGAGCAGATAGATGTTCACTGTTGAGCTGACTGAACCTCCTGTTCAACAACCTTGTTGTCATTCAAGCCAAATAAAGCTGATTATTGTTATTTATCTGTAGCTTTTCCTTGTTTCTTGACTTAATTGGAGAGCAGGGGCCTGACTCCGGTATAACCACACAGTGAGAGTCTGACCATAGGGGTTTTGTCACCACCTCTCAGTGCCCTCTCAATGCCCTCAGCTGGAACTGGTTGACCACCATCAGCAAGAGCCAGGCTTGGCTCCTGCCTTGCTAGTTCAGTTCCTTCCTACTCCTGAACTCTGACCTATCCTCTCACAGAAGTGCTCTGATGGATCCATCATCCACACTGAGGCAATCAGCTTCGTGTTTTGGGTTCATTTCTATAAAAGAAATGAACTGGCCTTCACTGGCCTATTTTCCAGAATTCCAGATCTAGGAGTATTTAAAAGAACATGGAAATTGAACAAATGTAGTCAAACAACAATAACAATTACATAAGTATTAAGGGTTTTAACTAAACAAAGGCATGAATCAAAATAAGTTACTCCTTACAAACCTCAAGATTATTTCCAAGTTCAACTTAGTGATACTGAGGAGGGTGATAAGGAGAAGGGTTAGTAGGTTATAATAAACTTAGTGAATTATTCTGGTTTCACTTCATGGCTTAAATAATCCTTTTGTAATTATGTATTTGAACACTTGAGTTTTATTAGCATTTCTTAAAATCTATAGGAAAATTTAAAGCTCAGTTGTGTCATTTTCTTCCTCTTTGATGAGATGTAAATTAAGATCAGTAGAGATTGGTGTCTCTATAGCTAAAGATATCACACAAACTTCTCACAATGATTCTGATCTTTTTATTTTATTTCATCTTGTTCTAAACTGAAATATAAAGGGTAGATAAAATATCAAAATTGGAAAGATTGTGAATTACTTTTCTCCCTTTTGGAGACTAGCTAAACTTCATATGGAGAAGGAAAAATATAAAGAGGATAGCATTAATTCTTACATTAAAAAAAGAAATATTTTAAGGAATAATAAATTATTCTTAAGCAACGTAAGGTTTTATGGTGAAATATTTTATGCAAGCAATGTTTAATTATTGCTGCCCTGTTAAGAGAAATTAAATAGAAACTAAGAATTATTATATAAGCTACATTATTTGGCTTGAAAAATTTTAAACATAAGTTCCTTTCTTATCTGAGATCCATCAGACTTTGACACAGGTGGGGGTTTGGTCATGCACCTTCTGTCATTCCATTTTTGCTTATCTCTATAATCATAAGTAATTCAAAATTCAATTTGGAAACATTAAATGGTAAGACCTAAAGGCTTTTAATAACAATTTCTTTTAGTTTCACTCACTAAGCTATCCTGCCACTTAATTTCCTTTGGTTTTAATTCATTAAAACAGGGGTGATGTGCACAGTGGAATGCACATATTCTAACACAAGCCAATGGCCCCATCACCCCAGATGCCTCCCTGCAGCTTAGTTATTCTGCTATGAGGAGACAGGGCCGCAGGGTCCAGGTCCAGGCCAGGCTTTCTGTGGAAAGCTTCATGTAAGTGGTGTGACTGCAGCAGTAAATCATTTTAAAACCACCAACGATTGTAACTGATGTTTAATTATCCTAGGAGAAAGGGCATATGCCAAAAAGGGGTTTTCATCTTCCTACAATATTATAGAATTTTGGAATAGTCACAACTTCAGTTTTTGAAGTCTAAACACACACACATGTCATTGTTAAGATTACTGAAAGTGGCTATGGTTCTTATTCAGCTATTCCAAAATGAGATCTACATTCTATAATTTATCAAGACTGAATATAAACAGATTTCTAAAAAACAGAAGATGTGCATTAAGCTTAAATGGACAAGATTAGGATAATTTAGGGCAAAATATATTTCTCTTGGTCTTCTTTTTCTTCATTTCCCATTTGTACTCATTTAATCTGTCAAACTTCAAAAAAAAAAAAAAAAAAGCCCCAGCAAAGTGTGTGCTGTGTGTCTGCCAGGAGTGCAGCTACGTCAGATTACAATGAGGGGCTTGGCTGATCCACTTTCTCACGGGATGTTTTCATCATAGGACAAGTATTAAGCTTAAATTGACATGATTAAGATAATTTAGGGCAACATGGGTACCCCACATGAAAACAATGCTCTGTGGCAGGGACTCCTCTCTCTAAAAAGCTAACAGACCAACCATAGTGGAGAGCTAAAGATGGGAATTTGAGGTGGAAAACATATCACAACTTAATCAAGCATCATTCTCCCAGCAGGTCTTTCTCATGCAGAGAGCTGTGAGATATGGAGGAGGACAAGTCATCCCAGGTGGATGCTGGCTCTCTGGGAGAAGGAAACTTGAGTTGCTTGGTGAAGACAGGATGGAATAACACGACCGAGCACAGCATGCAGGCTGACTTGTTGGAGGGGTCCTGGTGAGAGCACGTCTAATCCAGGCCCAGTGAAGGGTGCTTCCAGCGGGCTCCACGTGGACGTGTAATGTGAGGCCAGCAAAGTGTGTGCTGTGTGTCTGCCAGGAGTGCAGCTATGTCAGATTACAATGAGGGGCTTGGCTGATCCACTTTCTCACGGGATGTTTTTCATAGGACGAGTATTGCTAAACCCTTAAGAAGTGGCATGGCCACAGAGAGGGTTTAAGACAAATCTAGTTTGGGTTCTGCCTGATCCAGCCATGATCATATCATGAAGAGCTAAGACTAGGATTTGGACAAGGAATGGATCTTGAGAAAAAGTTTTGGGAGAATTCAATATGTGGCTTTCTAATCGCAAAAAAAAAAAAAAAAAAAAAAAAAGACTAGAAATTAATTTTAAAGCCAAGATCTTTGAAGATCTGTTCTTTCTTTTGGTGTTTCAAGGCTTCTTTTCTCTCTCTCTTTTTTTAAACCCATGCTGCACTTCCCCATGTTTAACATTGCAAATTTCACACAGGTATAAAATCATGCAGATGAATGATTTTACCTTTGCCTGCACCTACATCAGGTGGAAGAATACCAGCTTTAATGAAGGGAAACAGAAATAGGACACTATATAGTTAGATGTAACACACCCATGAGCATGTTAAGCGATAAAAAACACTTTTTAACATGCTAAAGCATGCAAGAATGAAGTGTTCCACATCAGGTACAGGAGACCGTTTGTTGTTGTCGTCCCCAAACTTACCTAGTAATCAAATCCACACATTACTTAAGGTTTTTTATTCATAACTACATACAAAGTAGGAAGCCTTAAGAAATCTCAAACCAACTTTTAGGTAGAAATGTCAACTTCTGATGCTATGGAAGATAACCAAATAAATAACCCTTAAGTAATTCTACAATTCATAGACGTGCAAAAACAGAAAATCTTTTACAATGTATGAGATCATTTTTGTTGACTCAAAACTTTTCAAAATGATTTTTAAGAGTATGAAAGAAACTGCTTCTTTCTTAAGATACTTTAATAGGGCTATTTTGTTTTTTCTGTACCAGATGGCATACCAAAATACGAAGTCCCATTCCAAAACACAAAATGAACACATTATTTAATAACAGTTTCAATTTTTTTCCTAGCAAACCTAAATTGGTATGTGGATTCAAGCATTATTTTCTGCCTTATATCAGAACTAGAATTACAAGTTTATTTATATATGTGTGTATAAATATATTTATGAGTGTATGTTTGTATTTGTTGGTAGAAAACAACATTGTTTTGAACTTCATAGTCAAGTGTGGGAAAATATTGTAATTTCCTACTCTCGCCTCAGTATTTCAATATAAGTCGAAAAATTTCAATGGACATGCAAAATACATCAAATAGTTTATCCAATAGGAATTAATTAATTCGTATTATATATATCAGAATAAGAAATTACAAATAAGTGTTTGCTTTAATGGGGGTAGATGGAAATTCCACTCTAAGAAGGAAAAAGAAAGCACAAGCTTAAGATGTATGTCCAGGATGCTCATATGTAGATGGATTTTATACATACCCATCTTACCTTCATCCACTGTGGTTACTGCTTCCTCTGTGATTTGACTTCCTGATCCTGCCGAAGTTTGTGCATAGAAGTAGAACTTGTATCGGGTGCTGAAATTTAAATTTTTTAAGGTCCAGCGTGTCTTATTGGCAGGAATTTTTAAATCTACCAGCGGGCCTAATTCATGTGTATTATTAACTGTGAAGAAATAAATGAATTCCCCATTAGTTGCTACAGGAATATTATTGTAAATAAATGTGTCAACCAAAAATGGCAATCTTAGATTACACTGCCTTTTGTAATCCCACTCACTTTTTACCTGACAGAACATTACAGCTTCTATAATAGACTGGCCCATAAGGTAGGAGATTGTTATAGCTGAATCACAGTTGCATTTCTTATCTCAGGTTTTGCAGGGGAATCATACATTGTTAACTAACCACAAACCTTGACTTCAGAAATCTTGTGCCAAAGGAACCCGCCTTCCTCCCACTTCCTAGTTATAAAAGATGTCTACCGCATCATGGGAACACCCTACTAAACCTCTTGCTCAGATGTCTGTATTACTCAACAGGTCACTTAATTTTCAAACATGTCATTTTCCTTTAAAAAAGTATCATTGAAGTTCCTTCTAGAACAACACTTGAGATTAAATGTATATATTCTACAGCTATAAGAAATAATGTTCGTATTTTAAGATTCTAGTTTTTTCCTTCAAAAACCATTATTTCCCCTCCCCCTTCTCCCAATAACTCACTTGGCTGATATTTTAAGGTGTATTCAGTCAAAATGCCATTTGGGTGGCTTGGTGGATCCCATTCCAATGTGAGAGAATCCAGTGTGGGGTTAACAATCTTCAAAGAGGAAGGAGCACTGGGGACTTGTTAACAAGAACAAAGAGTCAATGCAGAGGTTTTTGAATGTTTCAGAAAGTACAAAAAATGACATATTTCACCATGCTTACACAATTCATTAAGGTTTGTGTTTCCTGTAACTCACAATTCAGCTCTGCGATAGAGATGCTTAGCTATTTTCTTTCTACCATTTCCATGTACACTCACATTTCTGTCTTTATATGGATGCAGACCTCTGTGTGTTTGTGTGTGTATCTTTGTGGATGGGATGTGAACAGGCAGTGATGGGGCATGGAGAGGGATTCTGAGCAGAAGGGTGTGGGCAAAGAGCTGGCAGGAAGAAAGGACTAGGCATGGGATAAAGAGGAGGCAAGGCTGGAGTGGAGATTTACCTCATCACAGGTTATGGGGAAGGGAAGGGTGGGAAACTGGACTAGGACGCCAGTTTCTATGCCAAGCTGAGGATTCATGTTTAAGTCAAAGAGTCTTAATCTAGAGTCTTAATAACAATGGTAACAATATTTATTTCTATTACATATATTTATACTTATGATAATAATGAGAACGCTGTCTCTTTATACCTGAAGTTCAGCTGACCCAACAGGCAAGCATTACTCTTGGGATAAAATGAACTCAGAACATCATGAGGTTTCCTGAAGATCTCAGAGAAATGTGTTAACACTAGCAATTCTTTTAAATCCCTCATTTAGTTAAAGTGCAAGTATAAACTTAGAGTTTGTATGCTCGATGTCAAATAACACACATTATGTAACTTCAGGTCAAAATAATTCAGGGTGAAAATGTACACGACAGCTGTCTACATTGAAAAGTTCATGTGTTTTAGCTGCTATAGGTGTGTGAGCGATTAAAATATAGTTGTTTTATGACAACACACCAGAGGCTCTTTTTCAGTGTACATCACTCTATATTGTCTTGTATTTCATCTTTTCCCATCAGCATTCCTTGTTCCTGTCCCTCTCTTTTGTCCTAATCTTAGGGCCCTAGGGATGTCGAAGGCAAACCATACTTATTTAATGGTAATTTAAAATAACAACAACAAAAAACCAGTGACTAAGGGAAACTATTCTAACCAGACCTTTCAGTAGAAGTAGCTGTGCTTTAGGTTATTAAGGACTGTTTCCCCCCCCAACAACCAGGCATCTCAGTCAGAACGCCCTGCCTGCTGGGCTTTAGGCCTGACCCAGCATTTCCAGGTGCACAGTTCTTGTCCAGAGAGTTAACAGAGGCCCAGAATCACAGCGGGGGATGACAGCCCCGGTGGTGGCAACCCATGGTCTTGGGAAAGGCCTGTCAGGCTCTCTGTGGCAGAGGCTGGCCAAGTACCAGGGCAACATGCCGGGTCTTCTAGTTACTTCCTCATGAAGATGAAGGCTGGTGGCAGCTCCCTCATGGTGGCTGCTGCCTCTGCCAGCCTGCCACGCCCCCTACACCTAGTGGTCTTGAGTGGAAGGAGTTCTTCATGTCTAAAGATCCGTGAAGCTGAGGACAAACAATTGCTAAGAGATGGGAGCTGTAGGCAGAGGCTGGTGGGCAGCTGACAGGATTAGGAGCCAGGACAATGCTCATCTTTGCTGTGCTTTTATCCAAAGATCTATGGAATCCATAGAAGATAGCCAGCTCATTTTTTTTTTTAAGATTTATTTATTTATTCATACAGACCTGGTGTACAGGCCAGAGATGCGGAGGGTGAGAGGCTTCACCAGAGACAGAGTGGGGAGCAGAACAGGCAGATGGACGAAGTACACTGCTG